GTTCTGACAAAATGTGGTCCACTGGAGAAGGAAATGGCAACCCTCTCCAGTATCCTTGCCAAGAAAACCTCATGGACAATGTTAGAAGGCTAAAAGCCGAAAACCCTTATGCAGCAGCTAGCCAAATTTGTCTGGATTTGGAAGCTAAACTGGGCTGGACTTGGTTAGTGCTTGGATGAGGAATCAAGCCCAGAACTGTTATCTGGACTGGAAAAAGGCAATGGCACATCACTTCAGTGACATTGTTAAGAAAACAGCATGGATACAATCACCAGGAGCTGAGCTCAACGCTGGATATCCTTGCTGTGCTTTACTTTCTTAATAAGGAAAGAGACTCTCTTGTCTCAATGTTAATATTCTCCCCAAGGCAACTCTTTAGAGGAGGATGTAGCTCCCTGATACAGATGTAAAGCCTCCTTTGAATTTAGGTGGATTCCTGCTGGCTCCATTGATAAGACTATGGGGGGGGGGGGTGTTAGCCATGGCGTGGAAGTGGATTTCTGTCAATTTCCTCTAGGTGTGGTTTTTTTTTTTTTGGCAACTTCTCAGTCAAGCCAACAATTCTGGAATTTTCAATCTCCTATCCAAGTACTAACCAGGGACAACCCTGCTGCTTAGCTTCCAAACATGGACAAGTCAGCCACCCTAACATAAAGCAGCAAGTTAACCCTGGAAATTCTGGAAGTGAAGAAAGTTTATGCTTTCTTTTGGCACAGCTCTTCAGAACTGCTCCACAAAGAATCCAAAGAGCTTCTCCTCTGCAACTGAATCATGAGATGATCCATTCCATTGCCCAGCTCTTGTGAATACAGAGAGCAGAGGCTCTGGCTTGAGCTTCAGGAAGGAAGGAAGTTGTCCAGTAGTCCTTGGAAATACTGCAACTCTGGATTTCCTGTAAAGTCATGGTGAGGGTAGAGAATAGAATGAGTTAGTCCATTAGAATGTTTATATTAATTTTTTACCTACTAGTCATGCAAAAGAATATGTGTAGATATGACATGTTCCCCTGAAGAATGGGCGCCCTGGGAATAACACCCATAAATGACATGAAAGTAACACCAGAAAAGAGATACACTTTTCACTCAACAGGCTTATAATTTAAGATGTGATCTGAAGAAAATATTATTGAGTGATGGAGGACAATTAACAGGAAGTTCCTGAGTGTTCAATTAGTGAATCTGTGTGAAGTGACTCTACTCCACTCTGTGCCATTGCCTGAATCAGGACTGTTGCCATGATTCAATCTGAAGCCCTCTCCTCAGAAAATCTACCTCCACCCTTTGATTCAAAGTAGGATAACTCAACGTGGCTGGCTATTCCCATCTGGTGGAATGAAGTCTCATTCTCTGCATATAAGCCCCCTCTGGTATCTGGATGAAAGTGGGGCAGTTGTTCTCATCTGGCACTTCAGAGGAGTGCTGCTTTGATTAGCTGGTTTCCTTCAAAGAGGTACTTTGATTGAAGCTTTGTTGCATTGAAGTGCACCTTCAAAGTGCAACATAACCTCATCAGTTTAGTTTACTTGTGAATAATTTTAATAGGGGTTGAAAACCTAGGCATTGTGCCAAGGCTTTCAGGGACAGTCTGGACTGAGAGGAGGAAGTAGATGGGGAAGAAAGGGAACTGATACAGATGTACATACACAAGCAAAAGACAAGCATTTAGTGATTGTTAAGTTTCTAATGTGGTTGGAGGAAAGAAATCATGATCGAGGGAATTTGTTTCCCTATTTCTTCAAGTCTGCCTGGGGCAACATTTCTCTTAGTTCATTGTAGCAAGAAAGTAAAGAGGGGGTCTGCTAAGGGAGACCAATGAGGATTGTGGAACTGGAGGACTGAAGGACACATCACCAGCTTGCACCACCTCTTTTTGTATCAAAAATCACTGCCTGAATGTTTTCCTGCCCACGGCCTGCCAAAGGCTCTTTGTTTTCCACATCCATTTGGAAAATGTTTTGAATGATCACTTGTCTTTCTGCTTTCTCTGGAGTGATACACACACACACACACACACAAGATCCAGGCTAGCGCCAATTACAGAATGTCCTTATAGGTTCTAATGGTACTTATCCCCCTTCATCTCCTTTCTTGCTTCTAGGGACTTCAATTGGGAACTTCAGAACTGGAAGAGATGGGCGCCAAGTTCTGTCTTGGACTTCTGGTCCTTCAGCTTAAATCCCTGCCATGCAGCAAGAAGGTGATGGCCCAGGCAGAGACTCTCTTGGATCTGGAAGAGGAAATTGCTGATCTCCGGGCACAAAGGTCAGACCAGAAACAATTTATCTGGAACCAAAATGGCTCTTGGCTTTCAAGGTACCAGAAAATGGGACCTTTATGTACTTTTCATGCTGTGTCCTGGTTTTGATGTTTTCTCAGCCTTATGTAATCTGATACTGAAGTTAATGTTCAGCTAAAAGGAGCTTTCTAGTACCTAGACTATAAGGCTTTGGCCAAGTTTAAATTTTAGCTACTAGAGGATATCTAGTGAAAACAAAAAGATGAGGATGCAATTGTAGAAGTAGTAGTAGTTTTATTAATATTATTAAATTTTCTTAACTGTTCCATTCCAAACCAGCTCTGAGAGGCATATAAGAAAACAACCACAACAAAAATACATTTAAAACAGAAACAAGCAACAAAAACAACTTAAACCTAGTAATGCCTTACTATAATATAATGAAACATAATGATGAATGGGAAAGATGGAGACATCCAGGGAAAGGGTTATGGGTATTTGATATAAGAGAACATGATTAGCAGTGTCAAAATGAATAAAGAACTGAAACCAGATTTCATCTAAAATCTCATGATGTGCTAAGGTTCAAGACCTTAAGGGTAGAACAGATCCTTGTTTTCCTAATCAGGGTTATCATAATCTAAGAAGCAAGGTTGTTGATCCCATCCCCTGCTATCTGAAGCTGGCCAAAATGCATGCAAACTGGTTCAGTCTGTTGTTCCCAGTTGACTCAATTTCTTTTGCTTGAGAGGAAGGAATGGCCATCTAGAACCAGGCATTCAAATTGATCAGAGCAGGAAGCAACCTTAAATTGGAAGTTCTTGTAAGAACTGAGTTGCATCACCAAATCAGCTACAACCTGCTGATGGAAGGCTATTTTCTTGCTTGGTATGTTTGGTCTTATTGTAGTTCCCACCAACTATCTAACCAGGATGATGCACCTAGCTTGAACATAACCATGCTATATATTTGCCCACCTGTCCAAGATTGGTTGAGGGGCTCAAGTCTTTACCAGATTTAAAAACACTCCAGTTTAACAGATTTCAATACCCCAGTAGGTATAGATCAAAGTCCCATATTAGATGTCCAAACAGGAGTAATCTCATTTCCTTAGAAGTAGGCTGCCTAACAAGTCTGCAAAGAGGACAATGGACTTACATAACTGGGTGCAGGCAATACATGGAAAAATGTATTTTGACTAGAGACAAGATGATAAAATGATCTGGTCCCAAGCAGTTAGCTTAAACCCCCAGTAAAGGTGGAGAAAGGTAGCACATCAACTTGCAAGGAATTCCAGTTCACAGGATGATCCTTTTGTTGAAATAATTCTTTCCCCATTTTTCCCCCAACACAAGACTGCATTTCCTCTTCCTTCTTTTTATCAGAACTGTTCCATAATTTATAGTGGGCTCTTAGTCTTTCCCATCAGGGATGCTTTAGCAGTCATTAGCACCACCTGTTCTTGATGCTGGAGACCATATTTACAGTGTTGCTCATTCCTTTTAAATGCTTCTAGCAGAAGGAAGGAAGGAAGGAAAAAGAAAGAAAGAAAGAAAGAAAGAAAGAAAGAAAGAAAGAAAGAAAGAAAGAAAGAAAATAGAAAAAATAGTGACATTTCTTTAGCTTAGTCATGCTCACTGGTACATGTGAATGTAGAAATGATGTATTTATGTGTGTGTTTCAAATGCCAAGCTGGCCATGGATAGCTGCCTGACAAGTGATTGGTGTGTCATTAAAGGGAATCATTGGGGCCTGGCTAGACGGATGCATAACAGCCATAAATCAGGACCCAGGCTTTAGAATTTGGAGCTGGTGAAGCCTTTGAGCAAAATAACTGAGCGAGGAAGGCAGACTCCTGGCACCTGGGAAAGCAAGGAATGAAAACATGAGGCAGATTGACAAGTGGGAGAAAGGGTCAAGGTGTTTCAGAACTCAAGTCTCCTGAAGTAATTGAAGGTGAAATTAAGTCTGTCTCCACTTGGAGAAGAAATGCACTCTGCTGCTTATTACCCATCTACACTTTTTATGTTATTGTTCTTAGCTGATGTTCATTTGCCTGAAATTTTGACAAGAAAACATATTAATGGACAGGTCAGCTGGAGAAAATATTTTTCAGAACGGAGTTGTCGCACTAATGGTTCCATAGTGCCTTTCTTTTTATTGTTAAGACTTTGTAAAATATCTTTCTAAAAGTTGGCAGCTGGCAGTCAGTGGGCCAAATCTGTCATTTCTCAATGTGATGTAAAGTTAGCTTAATTTTAGAGCTTGCAGCTGACCTAGACAACAGGAAAATTAGCCTCTCCCTGGCTTGTGGCCAATGGCAGCCTTGCCTTTGTTAAAAAACTCATCCCTACGTATACATTCTGAACAGCGCCTTCTATCATCCAACACTGTCTGTTTAAAAATTAACAACAAGAACTACATGTAATATAACACATACATACACACCAACAGGATATATATTTAGGAAAGTTGGTTACCGAAAAATGTTGATGAGCAGCTGAGTTTTTTGAGCATAATTTGGGTGTTTGCTGTATTAATAGGACACACAAAGCAAGTAAAGCTATGTGCAAATGTAGTAAAAAGTTGTATGTATTGGGAAAAGTTTTGTGCAAAGGGAATACATCAGGGAAAACTGCCAGGCATTATATATGCAGATCTTTCCAGTGTCTTTTTGCTTATCTGTTTGATTTACTGGAAAAAAAGTGGATGGAATTGTACCTGACAACCTGGGATGCTGTCAAAAGTCTTGATCATGCACTGCATTAAAGTATGGATTGTTCACATTTATTTTTATTTATTTATATTTCACATTTGTCACCATCCATCTCACTGCAGAGCGACATTAACCATAGTTTATTGAATAAACCACATGCTAAACTGTCAGCCATGGTCCAACAAATGAAAACTGAAGAGACCAAATGCTTAGTTTGATGGTCAGTTAGTGGATGCTGTGGACCAATGTTTCTGCAGGAAATGATGATGATGATGATGATGATGATGATGATGAAGAAGAAGATTTTATTCAATGTATTAGCTACCTAACTGCAAGGTACACCAATTTTAAAAATAAGTCATAGAAAACCAAAGAAAAAGAAACCAATAATAATGCCCACAGCATATTATGGAAATACAAAAAAGAATAAAACATTACCAGTTCACAAACCACTGCGGCCCCACTGGAATCAAACTGGATTCACCCTGGAAACAGCCTGGTTTTTAAAGCTTCTTGGGAGTCTGTCCCTACAGCTTCCATCTCCAGCAGAATCTGCCAATCTATTTCCCCATCTGGACCAGAACTGTCTCCTCTGATATAGAAACATTCATCTTATCTCAAAGAAAGGTAATTTTTCACATCCCTTGCTCCCCGAGATCATTTTAAATGGATTTGCTCTGAATTTTTTTTTTTCTTCATGTGATACCTATACTTTGTCACTGAGCTATGGTCTCTCTGCTTTGTCCAACCCCTTCATATTACAAGTATCTATAGTTTAACTCTGATTTCCCACTTCTTCAGCTGCCAATGTTATTCTCCAACTGAGCATCCTACTGCAACAGTGAGAAATGCCACCTATCAGAGATTACTGTATTTGTATCCAAGCTTTTATATCCATGCTTCCAAGCTGTTTCAACTTCACATCTGCTCCCTTCTACCCACAGAAGAGGATACAGAACTGACTACCCACCTTTCTACATTTTTGAACTCATCTGATCAGAAGCCAAATCTGGATATTTTCAAAGGGCGCCAACAGCGTTCATAAGCATGCCTAAGAGAGCAGAGGCATTGTGTAAGTCACCATCCAGCTCGGCCATGATACAAAATAGCCACATCTGTAAGGTGGAAATATTCCCACTGACAGCCTGATAAGTCTAGTGAACTTAATAGCCTCATCTCTTAATACAGAGATAGGGCAGATCTCTGTACAGCCATCTTGGGATGGACCTTGTCCAATATCCCTTCCATGATAAGTATCATCAGCCACGCACTTTTTGTAAGCCTCATGTTCTCTTGATTTCCCCTTCCGAATATCAGTTTAGGAGATGAAATGTTTTCATTTCCTAAATGAAACAAAACCAACCAACCAAATCAGCTTGACTTGTTGTCGAACGTCCTGGAATGAATATGTTACTGATGTGAACTTTCAAACATATGTCCAAAATTCAAATCAGTGCTCTTTTCTATCAGGAGATACGTTTAATCTAGCTTGCCAAAATCTCCTTCAGAACTGAGGATTCATCTGAAGTAAAAATAGATTATTTTCCTTCCTCATCAGGTGAGTAATCTTTTTAACACCAAGGACTGTTTTGGTTGTCTTCTGACAGCTTGCTTACCACCTCAACCACACGTCTGCACTTCCCATTCACGCACAGACTTGCTGCCCACAATCTTTCCCATATCCTCCAACACACAATGAATTAAATTGTCATTAGTGGGAAAGAGATAAAAAAACTTCCTTCTCCTTCTGGGTACTCTAATGATCTTTTGGATTTCTAGCCATCTCTCTTCTTCCAACCATCTGATCACACTGATCATCTGATCTGTTGCATGTATCGATATCTCCGAGCTTCGGCAGGCTGCATCTTTTGTGTCTGCAGGGCACACCCAGTTGCAGCCCTGATTTCCTACCCATGTCTTAGGGACTGAAGCAGCCACAAATCCCTTTCCCTCATGATTATCAAAGATGCTGTAACATTTTTTTGGTTACATTTATATAGCGACATAATCAAGGACCAGTTCCCTGAGCAAAACTTTTCAAGATATATGATACCCCAACCCTAAAGAATTGTTTACCCCCTTACTTGGAGGCCCCAAATTACTCTTGATGCCTGGGCCTGACCACACCTTCAGCTGTTGCTCTGGTCCATGTTCCTCTCTTAGCGCAGGGTTTACGGCCATGGCAACAGCCATAGGTGTCAGAGATGGTGTTTTTATCTGTGCCCAGAATCCTAACCTTGCTTCCGTGGCAACTCAGCTCCAGCACTCAGAAAGTTGTCTTTCCCCATTTTGCTTGGACCATTAGCTCTT